AATAGAAGTGTTAAAGTAAACAACGTCGTGAATTATGGGAATCTAACATATATATTATGTTCTGTAAAAGTAAACGATAGAAGTATATAAAGTAAACAACGTCGTGAATTATGGGAATCTAACATATATTATGTTCTGTAAAAGTAAACGATAGAAGTGTATAAAAGTAAACAACGTCGTGAATTATGGGAATCTAACATATATTATGTTCTGTAAAAGTAAAACGATAGAAGTGTATAAAAGTAAACAACGTCGTGAATTATGGGAATCTAACATATATTATGTTCTGTAAAATTAAAACGATAGAAGTGTATAAAAGTAAACAACGTCGTGAATTATGGGAATCTAACATATATTATGTTCTGTAAAAGTAAAACGAGAAATAGATTGTGCTTAATCACGCAGGGTCTACTTTATTCAATACCATTAAATTAACTTGGAAACTTGACAATAAAACACGTAAAAAAATCGAAGGGCGTAACTAACATTCACTTGTTTGGACTGAAAAATATAAACAAATTCACAACGATTCCCTATTCAACCGTTACTGTATTGCACCAAATTTAAAGGATTGTGATAGTGTTATGTTGTGGGGCCTGTCTCTTAAATTTCAATGGAGTTATATAGAACATGTTCATAAACCATTACGTAAGTTTCTTGGTTAGCAGGCCGATCCGGTACAGGATAATGCTCCCTATTTGGCTCCCCTTGGTTACAACGTAAAATAATCTACGTCATGAAACAGCCTGCTATGATCTATAAATTACTTAAAATTGATAAAAAATTACACCATAACGGTTGTTTTTCATGCAATATGATAAGTCATGTCTCAATTATTACTGTATCAGTCGTATCTCAACCGGTCTAATGAGCTCTGATATTAGAATAAAGGCCTTTTTAGCACTGGATATAGAAGATGTTGTTTGGTAGGCTTATTATTTTGAAATCACTCTTTGAGTTCTTAGAATTAATCTTGTAGTTACTTAGGTGAAACTACAACTGGATGAAAACAAACTACATATTTGCCTTGCAGAATAGCAGTAGTTATACCGTTTTAGGACATTGGATATTAAAGCTCTCTCTATGGCACGTGTTCCGATACTTATTGTAGAACAGTGTATTCAATTATACAGAGTTTACTGAATTAAAACGGAACAGTGAAGTATATCCGTTTCAGGCTGGCGTTATGTCAACAATTACAAAACACTCGTGGTTTATAATTTGAAGTTCTATTTAAACCATTGCCACTTCTCAAACAGATTCCGTGTTTTCGCTTTTGATCGTTCTTTTGTTGCGACGTGTTTGTCTTAAAACTTTTTACGAAGGTATATTTACTCGTAAAATTACCGCTTTTATACTTGATGCGATAATCTACATGTTTTGTCAAACAAAATTCTGATATAAAGCAAGCTTTGGATCCTAGGATCTGGGTTTCGAGACGAGTTTCCAGCTGAAAACGGTTAGCACTAGCTGTGGGCGTGTTACAGAAGTGACAGTCTCCCCCGTTATTCGGTGACGGGAGCTGCTGGCCTTTCCTTCAAAATTAGAGACGAATATACCTGAAATCAAGAAATGTTGACCCGACCACGTACCTCATGTTTATAAGGTAGCGTTAAATTTGAAAATATTAATTCCAAACAGTGTGAAAAAGCACTAAAATAAATAAAATAGAAGATATTTTTATTTCCTGTGTTTAAACTTGGCAGATGGCACTGCTGCTTTTTAAATAAGTCTTCAACTATTTTTAGTTTTATGCTTACTGAGAAAGTAAAACGGGAAGAAACCTTTACTCCTGCCATGTTGCTTTCCTAGGTATTCGTAATTACAAAGGAGATAAATGTACGGAATAATAATAATAAAAAAAGGAGAGATTGGAACTTGGCCCGGCAGACATCATCATCATCATAGTCTAGCGCTATGCACGTACTTTCTGGCACGATTCATATATTAATCCGTGGGAAACTTACGAAGCCTCATTGTAATGTAGGACACACATTAGATTTTTTAGGATTAATGTAAAAGAAAAACGTTTCGACCAGCGTACTGAGCATGAAGCACCATGTACAATGCTTTATGTAACTGACAAATTTACAGTCCTGTCTGTTGTTATTTCAAGCCAGCTTGAACATAGATTCGTCTGATAACCTTCTCACCTAGAACTAAGACTTGAGATACTGAAGCTTCAAGGTATTGTGTGATCAACTGTAATTAATGCTTTTCAACAGACTACCAACAATGGGGCTTCATTTGGATGACGCGAGTAGTAAAACGGACAAACGCAGACCCGCAGTATCTAACAATGTAGTTCCATCAGGGTGACGCGTCGGCTAAAAGACAACCGCAGAATATAAGAAATGGGGAGGCGAGTTTCTAAAGGCGGTCACGTGGTACCAATACCTTCTCTCTCTCTCTCTCAGTGGTGGTTTACTAATAGCTTTGAACAATTTTCAATGAAGCCAAATTACAGGTTCATCAATACGCCGCCCTTTTCTTTACCCGAATGTCATCAGTGAGTGTCAATATCTCTTGCGTTACTGCGAAGCTGCTACCGCAAGGCAGTAGTTACATTTAGTATTTCCAAACCATTATTCTGTTTTCAAAATTTCTTTAAAATGTGGTTTATTACTGTTATAACTCTATACAACTACTAATCTATGAAGACAAATAAATTTCGTATTCTAAGAACAAAATGTGGTCTGCGGTTGCCTCTATCAGGTTACATTGAGGTCTGTGGTAGCCTCAGGTTAAAATATATGGTTTGTGGCTTGAATATAAAGAATTTACATAAGACTCGAAATCAAAAGGTATTTTGATAAATTTAAATCGTTTTTAGAACAAATGTTGATGATGTTAAACGTTTGTACTTAAATCATTTCGTTCTTTTAGTGGTTTACGACAAACATTTTACAGTTTTCATGTCGATAGGAAACTATGATAGTTTAGTGGTTTACGACAAACATTTTACAGTTTTCATGTCGATAGGAAACTGATAGTTTTCCTGCAAGCCAGTTTTCAATATTCCCTAAAGAGTATTGTTGGTGGTGTGTTAGAGATAGTGCCGATTATTCTATAACCTGAAATATTAAGAACTGATCTCGTCGGTAAGTTACTGGAAGCTGAATGAACCTTTCGAAACAACCGTGAATCCACTAGTTAAATAATCATTAGGTGCTTTAGTTGGGTATAAATTATCGATAATTAAGAACTGACTTCAGTTAGTCGCTTTAAAACACCGAATATTAGAAACTGTTTGTCAGAAACGTAGTTAATTCGAGTGTTTATCTAAAATACCTTTCCGAATATATCATCGCACGTTAAGAGATAAATCCCTTTCAACGTGTTCCAAACTCTTACTTGCGTGTATGGAAGGCAGATATTTAACACAAACACATCAATGTGCTAAGTTACAATAACGTAGGTCTGAGACTCCTGGTGAAAATAAATATTTTGTTTTAAACTTCCTATATCTACTTCTTCCTAAATGCACTCTCCAGAAATATCTTCTATCTCTTCTGAAGATGGCCTACTTTTCTAAAGCGCTCCGGCAAACATGTTTTGTGATTTATTTATTGATTGATTCACCGTGTTTTCTAAGAATTATTTTGTTGTTAAATATTAAGATCTCCTTTTTGTTTTTTA